TCAAGTTGTATAAATCAACTCATCCTTACCATAACTATTATTCAATAATTCAATAAAAACTATTCAAGTTGTACAAATCTTACCATGGTTTCCTGAAAATCTTTACCGTCATTGGTACCATCGACAGTAAATACTCCACTTTGATTGAGATAAAAATAGTAATCTGGGGTTGTGATTCCAAGGTTTGCCTTCCTCACAAAGAGTTTTTTGTACATGCAGGAATAATGAAGCTTCCCTAAGATATCAAAAGTCTGATGTAATAATACACAAAATCTGGATTTGAAGGAGTGAATATGTCTTTAAATCCAGCATGGTCTATTCTATCAAAAGCCCCAGAATTATTCATAATATTTCAGTTATACATTTGAATGAATCGATGGCATTAGTAAGAAAGTCTAAATAACCAACCTGTTAGTTGTTTTACATTAACAGAATGGGAGGGTTCTACACATGTATTTAGTTTTTTCAATACGAGGGTATATGTAGTATTCAAATGAAGAACTCATAATATTCTTTAATGCTCGAGTCTTTTTTCCTCACATAATTCCATCAGTTTCTTTAAAAGGATAATTAAAGTCGGATAATTCAGAAAATGGAGGGATTCTGGCAATATTTAACTCCGAGATATTACATGGCATTATGCCACATATCATATGACTTATTAGGGTTTATCAGTAATGGGGGTGACCAAAAACCCAATATTCTAAAAGATCTTTTTTTTACTTATTTTTCCACGAAGTATGGGGAAATCCTTAGTCTGAATAAATTTGTTTTTTTATTTGAAGGGGCTCATCCAAGGCAACTACGACTCGGCAGCTTATAACAGTGAGTTAAACTATTCTTTGTTTAAAACTCTTACGTTAGTTTATAAACTTTTATCACGCAAGTTGTTTTATTTTTCTACAAGGTAAAACACTTAAATTATGTATTTAGGAGAAATGTTCATATTTGTTTATTCATGCTGGCTACACCCAAACAAAACCATAAGCTAACCAAAAAAAACTGACTATAAATGTTTATATCTTGTTTGACGTTTCAATTTTTGTAAGTTTAGAAAATTTATTTACACAACACAAAATAAGAAAACTTCATTTACTACTTATACATCTGATCAGACAACATCTTACAGGCTTACTCTGAATTTCTTTAGTAGCCGCACTACAGAGCTGGTAGAAGATGTGGAAGTTTCGTTCGTTCAGATTCTGGGAAACAACCCGAGACTAGAAAAATCACGGAAACACGTGTTAAATGAAAATCTCATAATGACAACAACTAATGTTGAAGATGTGGAAGTTTCGTTTGTTCAGATTCTGGGAAACAACCCGAGACTAGAAAAATCACGGAAACACGTGTTAAATGAAAATCTCATAATGACAACAACTAATGTTATATTATTTGATTAATCAAAACAACCTTCAGTAACCTTAAAGAATGCTTTGTCTATAGAAGTAGAAACTGTAACTTTATAATAACATAATTCATAATATTTGTCGTTTTTAAATGACTTTACTAATAAAGCAGTTCCACAAATTATTAACACAGATAAAGTAATAAGCAATTTTCAATAAAATGTAATTTTTTTATTTAAAAATAATTTTATTGCCTCACTGGGTTTACAATTAATTATTTTAATTCTAGTGACACTAAGAAAGAAAGAAATTATTTGTAAGATGTTATAATAATTACGATTCATCTCATTTTAAGTTTTACTGAAAAGATTTTTAAACGATACTTTAATCAAATTTATTCTTTCTTTTTCACAAGTTGTTTGCTCAGAGTGTGTTAGTGATATTTAACTCGGAACATGTTAGCTGATTGCTATTTGTTTAAATGTACTAAACCATTAAATAGAACAATTACATTGTATGGTATTCTCAGGTGGGTCAACCGCAAACAGTTTGGGAAGTACTGTTTGGTTTTTTTTTATGAACCTCTCACAAAAGGTCATTGGACTTTCTACTAATATAATAAGCTATTGTTTACAGGGTGCAAACAATCTAAGATGTAGTTTCAAAATAGGTTTTGTGTTACAGGCTACAAAGAGGTGAATTACATGCTACATGAAAAATCTAAGTTACTGGTTACAAACAGATTCTGAGTTACAGGTTACAAACAGGTTCTGGGTTACAGATTACGAACATGTTATCTTATTTATATAATGAGAACCTTGGTGTCTGTGTGAATGTTCGCCTGTCTCCCGTTTATAGCAGCCACTTCCCACGTTGTGAAAAGCTATGCATGCAGGCAAAGTTCAACATTCACTTTTGAAATGACGGCAGAACAGGCATGAATAATGTTGATGTCAAATGTTATTTCACAAGCAGAATATTCTAGTTCACTCAAGATATTAGGAAACACTTATTGAAATTCTATAATCTTTATACTTTTACAAGTAAGAGTACCTTTCCCCAGTGACGGGAAAAGTTTAAGTTAATCTATCAATTCAAATTATTTCATGGACTTTAAAAAGGCTAATTGTGTTGCACTCTTCGTTTCACTCAGAGCTACTTATACAGCCCACTGAGAAAAGTAATTGTTGAACATTTCAGTCATGCTAAGAGTCGCTCAACAATAACATATGGTAAATCTACATTTTTATCATTTAAATTACGTCACAAAATATGAATGATCGTGTAATTAATTCCTAACAACTTAGTGCGTATATAAGTTAGTAAGGAAGGCCGTATGTAAGTTAGTAAGGAAGGCTGTATGTAAGTTAGTAAGAAGGCCGTATGTAAGTTAGTAAGGAAGGCCATATGTTGTAAAGTAATAAAAAATGTCACTTTTATTCCAAAATGCTGCTGATTATGTGGTATTTCTGTGTTAAAAATATTTCATCTTTATTTTCTTTTTGCAAGCACCGATTTCCTACTTTCATTTATCTCTTTTTTCTCTAGGGTAAATATGTAGAAATCCAGTTTAGTCGAGGTGGAGAGCCAGAGGGTGGTAAAGTATCCAACTTTCTTCTAGAAAAGGTACTGTAAAAAAACAATTTCTCCTCGTAATCGTTTAGTTCATAACTCATTTTTTGCCTGTATCGTATAACCTGTTTGTAACTTATAACTCACAAGCAGTGATGGGGAAAGTCGTGAATAGGGTTACGTGGAAAACTTTTACTCGTGGTAATGCCAAGATAGCAAAATAGAAACATCAAACTCTAATCCCTTAGTGGTGCTATCAGAATAAATACTAATTTTAATCTGTAGAATATTTGCTTAGATATATTCAGCAAATTACAACGATAGACTTTCTTAAGTTAGTAAGAAAGGCCATATGTAAGTTAGTAATTAAGGAAGGCCATATGTAAGTTAGTAAGGAAGGCCATATGTAAGTTAGTAAGGAAGGCCGTATGTAAGTTAGTAAGGAAGGCCATATGTAAGTTAGTAAGGAAGGCCGTATGTAAGTTAGTAAAGAAGGCCGTATGTAAGTTAGTAAGGAAGGCCAGGGTTTTACTTCTTTAAGTAAAAGTGTGTGTTACTGGTTCTGTTGTGGGTTTTACTTCTTTAAGTAAAAGTGTGTGTTACTGGTTCTGTTGTGGGTTTTACTTCTTTAAGTAAAAGTGTGTGTTACTGGTTCTGTTGTGGGTTTTACTTTTTCAAGTAAAAGTGTGTGTATGGGTGTCGCTTTGTTGTGGGTTTTTACTTCTTTAAGTTAACTTTTTAGAGATAAGTGTAAGACTCTTTAAAGTTTCAATTTTACCTATTTCACTTGAGAATTTTTTTTAAAATCTAATTTCAATTGTTCGAGGAGGTGTTGATACTTACAAATCTTGAAGAGTTGTTATTCTGTACTGTCTTGGCATTTCCAAAAGCTTCTAGAAGCGGATTGGATTCCAGGATGATTTCCTTGACATGCTGGAGCACAAAAAAAATATTGTTTATCTATTTACATATTCTGGGGTTTCTGTTTCACACACATAAATAACAGTAAAACACACATAAATAACAGTAATTACAAACAACTCATACAGTTCCAAACATTGTTTTTCATAATATTCAAAATCCTCACAAAAACCATTCATAGTCAATCAGGCTTTGGCTGTCTGTCTGTCCCCCAACTTCTTATCAGATTGGTTGCTCTGTATTTTATTTCTTCAGTACAGTTCCATAGAATGGGTAAGAAAACAAACAGGAACACACACACACATATGCAGGAGTGGTTTCAACCAAACCCCCTATTTTTAGGATGTAAAAAAAAATTATGCTTATATAGTTATACTGGTATTTAATGTTTTCTACATAGTCTACATTCTTGTCTTGAAACAGTAGCATGCAAGGGATTTTGTTGACACTTTGTAATTAGAAGCCCCAAGTCATATTGCTACTGTGAGGTTTTGTAAGCTGGATTCTGTACAGTAGGTGTCTGTGACTTACTGGTGATAAATTTCAACAATAAATAAACAGCACCCAGTCCACTTGTTTTAAAGTAATATATTAAAACAAGTTGGTTATCACAGTTGTATCCAGAGCTTTAAAAAACTGTCTCTTTTTTTTTGTCAAAGCTTGCTTCGGTGTACCAAATATCTTTATGTTACTGAAACTCTTTGCCACACAGCCACTAAGTTCATGTTCACGTGAACATTTGGCATCTGCTCTCCGCCAGTTGAATAATTACCGGAGGTGTACACAAACCGAAGAAAGACTGAGTGCTCTAGCTTTAATACATAATCATTATGACACGACTATCAACTGTATGTAAGTTTTTATGGAAAAACACCGCAGAAGAATGTAGCATGCTAGCACATTACTTCAATAGTGCATACATGTACGCATATGACAGCCAATGATTGAAATATCTAACATTCTATAGAGTTGTTTAAATTAGTAATATAATTTAATAGTCAATAACTACTCTGTATGTAGATAGTACAGTACTTTACTTTAATAAAACATACATATTTATGTGAATCTAAGTCTAGTTCCCCATGCAGTGTTACAACAGAATGATGATTTGTTGGCTTTTCATTGGATGTTTGTGAATTTTACATGAACAATCATGATATTGTTTAAGCTATATTTCATGCAAAATTGCTTCCAGATATAATCTTATAGTATCTATGTTTTACAAATTTGCTGGGGGACATGCCTCCCATGACCTCCATAGCAATAGCATGCTTCACACAACATGTGTTGGATTTTGATTTCCCTTTCAAACATTATGTGTACGGACCTGAAACAAAAGCTACGTATTATTAGATTACGACTTATGTTATAATATCAATTAATTGTCTTAAAACAAAAGCTACGTATTATTAGATTACTAGCTTACGTTATAATATCAATTGTCTTAAAACAAAAACTATGTATTATTAGATTACTAGCTTACGTTATAATATCAATTAACTGTCTTAAAGTTCCTACATTAATAATTATGATTTAGTAAACATAAGAAAATGTTTAATCAAATCATGTTGGACATTTGTTTTATGATTTAAACTTAAAGTGCAGAAGTAGAAGACGTGTTATTCCGTGCTCCATTTCTTTTTAACTCTTATTTATAGTATTTGTAGCTGCAATGTCTAATACCATCGGAATCCCTTTCCTTATATTCATTGAGGATATACTAAGGTGACTGTCATGTTAGTAACTGAGCACCCAGTCTCTCGAGGATATACTAAAGTGACTGTCATGTTAATAGTTGAGCAGCCAGTCTCTTGAGGATTTACTAAAGTGACTGTCATGTTAATAGTTGAGCACCCAGTCTCTTGAGGATCCACTAGAGTGACTGTCATGTTAATAACTGACCACACGGTGTCTCAGGTATATACTAAAGTGACTGTCATGTTAATAGTTGAGCACCCAGTCTCTCGAGGATTTACTAAAGTGACTGTCATGTTAATAGCTGAGCAGCCAAATCTCTCGAGGATATACTAAAGTGACTGTCATGTTAATAGCTGAGCAGCCAGTCTCTCGAGGATATACTAAAGTGACTGTCGTGTTAATAGCTGAGCACCCAGTCTCTCGAGGATATACTAAAGTAACTGTCATGTTAATAGCTGAGCACCCAGTCTCTTGAAGACTTACTAAAGTGACTGTCATGTTAATAGCTGAGCACCCAGTCTCTTGAAGACTTACTAAAGTGACTGTCATGTTAATAGTTGAGCACCCAGTCTCTCGAGGATTTACTAAAGTGACTGTCATGTTCATAGCTGAGCACCCAGTCTCTCATGTCGCCATTTCCATTTTCATATGCTAAATTACATCTAGCTTGACTTACTTTAACACGTGGACCTCCGCCAGACACTTGGGCGACATATGACATGATGAACTTGGCCGAGACGGTCTTTCCTGCACCACTCTCCCCACTGTATGAGATGCAAAAACCAAATATAAACTGACTTTGATAATATCAACATTTTCTATACCATTACTAACTAAGCACGAAGTTTGGATGCAAAATAATGATGAAACACATGTATGCTAGTCAAAACTAACATAATGTAAATGTTTTAAGTAATTTTAGAGCAAGAAAAATATTAGTATTATCATGACAATAAAGAAAATCTCCCTCTTCTCATCAGTCATAAAACAATCACATCTTATTCTTGTATATCGTGAGAAAAGATAAAACCACATTGTTTTTATAATGTATGAATATCACTGTAAGATAGCTTAATCAATAACATTGTTTTTATAGCATACGAATATCACTGTAAGATAACTTATTCAATAACACTGTTTTTATAACGTATGAATATCACTGTAAGATAGCTTAATCAATAACATTATTTTTATTGATTAAGCTATCTTACAGTGATATTCATACGTTATCTTTAAAAATACTGTCTGATCAGATGTTAGACCAGACTTTGTTCTATAACAGTACTATGACATTAGAACATTAAAAACTGTTTGATTGATTAAGCTATCTTACAGTGATATTCATATGTTATAAAAACAATGTTATTGATTAAGCTATCTTACAATAATGTTCACATGTTATGAAAACAATGTTATTGATTAAGCTATCTTACAGTGATATTCATACGTTATAAAAACAATGTTATTGATTAAGCTATCTTACAATAATGTTTACATGTTATAAAAACAGTGATAGACTTTGTTCTGTAACAGTACTATGACATTAGAACATTAAAAACTGTCTGATCAGATGTTAGACCAGACTTTGTTCTATAACATTACTACAACATTAGAAGGTCTAACATCTGATCAGACAGTTTTTAATGTTCTAATGTCATAGTACTGTTACAGAACAAAGTCTGGTCTAACATCTGATCAGACAGATTTTTAAACTTCTAATGTTGTAGTAATGTTATAGAACAAAGTCTGGTCTAACATCCGATCAGACAGTTTTTAATGTTCTAATGTTATAGGACAAAGTCTGGTCTCAATCTACTTCATAAAGTCAGGAGGAATCTCTAAGTCAAGTTTTATAAGTAGTTTTCTCGGAATGAAAAGTTTGTTAGTCACTACCGAACACATTAACGAGAATCAGTTATCAGATCAATAGCTAGAAAAACAAACAAACAAAAGGACAGCATTACACTCGGGTTTATCACTACGTTTATCTTTCCAATCCAAGATGGTAAAGTGTGGGTATGTAAATAGGCTAATTAGTAAAACCATATAACATTCTATATCATTAAAAATAGTGGTCTAATTAACTCGGGATTATCGGTCACTCACCTGATGATAACACACTGACTTTCATTGTCGATTAGCATGTTTCTGTACATGTTGTCAGACAAGGCATAGATGTGAGGGGGATTTTCGTACGTCGCCTATAATTAAAAAAGAACAGGTTATGAAACTCTTTGAACAATGTGTATTCTAAATATCAATACTGAAATACCCTCTTTTAATCTCGGGGTTATTACCATTTATCTGGTAACATACGCATCACTTTATTTACCATAGAGTTCCAATTCCGTCAGCTTTGTGTTCGTTTTACTGCAAAGCCACATTGGGCTGTGTCCATCGCGAGGAATCGAACCCCGGATTTTAGCATTATAAGTCAGTGAACTTACCTCTGTCCCATTGA